TTCTCTCTCCCTTCTACAAGGCTGTATCACACCCTGGTCACCCTAGCTTTCTCCTCTTCAGCTTCTTTACTCCAAAGTGGTCTGTTCGCCAAACAGACACCCCACTGTGGCTGCTTAGAGAGCTGAGAGCTTTCTTTCAAGCTCCTGCAGGAGGAGGACAGCCCTCTCTTTCTCCTGGTTGAGATCCTATGCTTGCTAGACCCATAAAAGATAAGAACACCTTTGATTTTGACTTCTAGCCAGCTCAGAACAAACCTTCCTGTTCTTTTTCTTCTCAGCAGCCCCCATGCATGTGCTCGCTAATTATGTATTGAATTTTTGGGTTCACATTTCACTAAATCATGCTGTTTCAGACATAGTCAGAGACCTTCAAGGAAAGGGGTATTTGCCAGCAAAGCTGCACCCTGAAGTAGTAGAGGTCAGCTGCTTTCCTCCCATCCAGCATTCTGATTCTCAGTCCCTTTTCTCAGCCTCTGAGCAATGGTGAAGTTTGGAAGCAACTCAAAGGTCCTTTTGTGACAGAAAGAAGTTAGGCTACAGTCTTCAGCCTCCTCGAGTTCTCTGCTTTTTCCCTCCAATGAATCTTGTCCCTATCCATCCCCTGAAGATCATCACAAAGACATCCCAACCTTCCCGTTTTAACAACTTGCGGATGGAAAATTCTTCTTCATACCTAATCTAAGTCCATCTGCTGCAATTTCTGTCTATTTTCTTTCGTTCAATCCTTTCTGGAGATGGAGAACAGCTGGTCGCCATCCTCCATCTAACATCCCCTCCTAAACCCAAATGAGTTATTACATCACCCCTCAGCCTGTTTTTCTTCTGGCATAACTTCCACCATTCCTCCTGAACTGCCTTGAAGATTCTTATTCTGTAAGCTTCACTCACACTGGCCTGTGCCTTCCAGAGCTCTGATGTCCACAGCTGGAGTTCAGACCCAGGTGAAAAATCCAGAGAGAAAATTAGATAGAAAATAAAATCTAAGAGAACCTAGTCCACACCCTGGGCTTTACAGTAATGAAATGGAGCGGCAGAAAGAGCAAGTGTCGTGCCCAAAGTCTAGGGGCAAGACCAAGGTGCTAGACCTCAAATATTGCCATGACAAGGAAAGGGGTGTCCGCAATTTTTCCTAGATAAGGACGAGAGCAGGACTAGCCATAACTGAAAAGCAACGAGTCGTAACAGCCCAGATATTCTCTGTTGGGAAAACAAACTGTCCTCCCAGTCCCACTACTGCAAGAAAATCCACCATGAACATTTTATTTTCCACTAAGAACTCAAGTATTATACGGAGCTACAACGTAGGCTGTTTACACCTTGGTACAGTTAAGTAGATTTGATCTTTTCTAACTCTTGATAGATAAATTTAAGGGTAAGAAGAGAACAACAACAAAACAAAACAAAGATATTGACAAATAAAAGTCACAGCTGCCAGCATTTCTGAGAGTCGTGAGGATGGGGTTGAGGGAGAGTGGGGTGATGCCAGGACAATGGATGATGGGGGCAGGATCTGAAAGAAATCCCAGAGCTTCTAACAGTTCTGTCAGATACATCTGCCCTCAGGGCTCTTGCAGGGTAACTACATCACTCAGGGGCCCTGGTGAGGTCTGCAGACATTGAGCATGTGACCTCACTGCCCCTCCAGGACCAAGTCCACCTAATCCTCAATGCTTAACTTCCCCTAATTAACTGTTTTACAAGGAAAGTGAGCAGGGTGACCGAAATTACAACTCAACCTCAACTGTGGTCTTAATTTACAAGAAAGAAGAAAAATAGGAAGAAAGGGAGGCAGACAGCAATTAAAGTAAAATTGTCCCGGTATTTGCTTGCATATTTACTCCCAAGTAGAACATGAGTAAGGAAAAGTGAGCAATTACTCACAATTTCTACTATGATTTTGTCTAAGTGAAGAATGAAAAGGAGAAATAAAGTGATGAATCTATTTCAGAGCTGACATTTTGAAACCACCTTCACCTGATCTTGAATAGAGAGAAGCATGACGTTCTGACCGCTCCAACTTTCAGGACCCAGACAATTTCCATCCTCCAGACACAAACTCCCTTACCAGGATTACAGGGGAGACCATACCCCACAGAAGGCAAAGGAGGCACTTCACAGAATTCACAAAAACACCTGAAACAATCAAAGTACTCATCTGCTCTCCCCAAATTTAACCTTAAAATAGGAAACTAAATGACTCATCTGATAAAAAAATTGAATATATTTTCAATTATATTACAAGGGACAGTTTTCTTTTACAGTAAAGTTGGGACAAAATTACAAGATCAGAGCAGGCTGGGAAAATGAATATTTACTGATGTGTTTATGATGCTAAGGGATAATAAAATAAAAGAGGTTGGGGATGAATGAGCAACAAAGTGAGGAAGGTACTTTCACTCGCTGGGAAAATTACCCAAGACTAGGAAAAAAAAGAAGTGAATTCTTCATAGTGCAGTGGTTAAATGAAAGAAATCCTTGTCGGTCAATTGAGAGGTGAAACGCTAGATCTATGGAAGTTGCTTATTCGGGGTCCCAACTAAAACGACCATGTTTGATGAGGTGACAAATTTAATTTCCTGCACACTAATCAATCCCTTCATAAACACACAGGCTCTGACTTCACAAGGAACTAATTAACAACACCAGAGATTAAATCTTCCAAGTAGATCCCAATGAGCCAGAGCCGGGCTTTCATGAAGGTGAAGTTACAGTGATCATATTTTGCATTTTGTCGATTTTTCTTCAGCTCCTATTATCCTTTTTTTAGTCTAAAGTTGTTATTTTAGTGATCCTTGTTCCAACTAGGGAAATCCAAGGAAGAGGAAGGAGGAGGAGGGAGAAGGAGAAGCGCTCTTGTATGCCCCACTTAGACTTTCTACAGCTTCCTCTGCGCCCCCTGCTCCCCACCTGCCTGCCTTTTCCCTCTGTGCATGAGTCACCATTCAGGAGTTGGTTTAAAAGCCTTACTTTTAATGCCCTTCACAGTGACAGAAATCTATGAGATCAGTATCAATAAAGGGGACCCCAATATTCCTACCTGTCCCTGATTTTAGACACCCTTCAAACTCAAAAGCCTTTCCTAACTCTTTCACTGCCTACATAAACACCAAGAAGCCCCATTCAAAAGTGACACCCCACACACAAACACACACAAATACACACAAACACATGTGACCTTCCTTGAGTCATTTCGGGGGGTCACATATACAGACAGACTGATGAGAGTATGGAACAAATGTGCCCAGTAGCCCCAGCAGCTGATAAACGTTTTAGAACCACCTCAGGCAAACAAACACAAAGGATTTATAATATGTGGGCTGCAAGTTTGTTTGTTGTCAGATGACATGTGCAGAAGGGAAAGCTGACTGTAACATGAGAAAGAAACAAAGAGTCAGGAGCTGTTGGTGTTTTTTCCACCCTTGTGAGTAGAGCTTCCACAGTACGAGCTCCCAACTGAAAGAGCTGCTGATGGAAGTGGATGAGACTCTGTTGGGGTTAAAGAAAATAAGAATTAAAAAATGAAAGTGCTTCTCTGTCACCTGCACTTCATCAGGAATGAGGTCACAGGCCGGAGATGTTGCTGGGAGATGTCCCACAGAACAGGACTTCTCTCCCTGGACTGGAAATGAAATTCCCCAATCCTAGGTCTAGGACAGAAATCAGCACAGGAAATCATGTGGATTCCCCCAAAGCCTCCACCAAGCACTTCAGAGTGTCCATCCAAGCCAGGGAGATAACCCTGAGCACTACCACAGGCACACACACACGAAGTCCAAGATAACAGGCACACATTTCTGCATGTGAACCTGGGTCCCAGAACATCCACCTTCCAGTCACCTCCCAGTGGCAGAAAAGAGGCTTCTGTGAGAATCAGCAGTGGGTCTCAGAGACACTGAGACCCTAGATGGCCCCACGATTGGGAACACCCAGGGGTGCTGCGGGTTGCACAGGCTGTTGCTTCTAGGCCTGGTCTTTTCATGTGAGGGACCGCTGGCCACAGCAGTGTAGAGTGTATAGTAGCCCAGCACCTGTCCTTCACGATGCACCTGCTCACCTAGACTGAGCACTCTCTGTGCAGGCTCCCTTCCCACCGGTTCTCGGGACACTCCCCTCTGAGAAAATCACTCTACAGGGGATCCTGGTTTCAGGGCAGCGGGTAGAGCCTTTGCCTTGCATGCGTCTGACCTGGGTTTGATGCTGGGCCCCCCATTTGGGCCCCCAGGCTGCCAAGAGTGATGCCTGAGCACAGAGCCAGGAGTAAGCCCTGAGCATCTATGGCACAAACTCACAGATCCCCGCCCCTTAAAAAAATCACAATATTTACAAATCAAAAATTACAAGGAGAAGAGAACGTAGTCCCATTCCCAATATTTACACACCCAAACTGAAAAGTGTTCGGGAGTTTGTGGGGAGCTAATCAACTAATTAAGTGGTCTCTTTTTTTCTGAGAAATGTTCAGACGGTTCTTCACCAAGTTGTGCAGCCCATGGAGGCCCATTAGTTCAAACAGAATAGCTGTCCACGCCGCAGAAACGTCCCTTCTGCCCTACCCAGGGAGGAATAGGAGTGGGTCAGGGTGCAGAGAGAGAAGTTGGAGGAACAACTCCAGGGGAAGGCCACAACAGTTGAGGAAAAGCAGGTCAGGGTACAACCAAAGGCGCAGCTCCTGTGCTGGGGAGACCAAACAAGGAATCTGGTACCCAACCCCCGAGAAGGGGGACCCCAGGACGCAGCGACTGGGCGTGCCGGCGCCCTCAGCCCACAGATCTGCCGCTCCACTCCCCGCATCTCCTCCCGGATCCCGCGCGGTAAACAAGCCCAGCCTGGGCAGCGCTGAAGTTTTCCGAATGAGCAGCTTGTTTTCCCGTGGGTCAAAGATGGTCTTCCCCCTCCCGGGCCACGTTTGCGCCTTTAAACTTTTCTCCTCTCCCCGCACCCCCTCTGCCCCCCGCGGCGAAGGTGCGCGGGAGCAGCCCGCCCCCTCCCCGCGCGCCGGGTACCTTCTCCGCCGAGCCCGGAGGATGCGGTGCGGAGGGATGCAGGCGCGGGATGGATGCTGGCGCGAGGGGCTCCGGGCGCCCAGACCTCTCGGCGGCTCCGAGCTACAGTGCTTTCCCAGCACTGGGCGATTAGCTGCGGCCGCCGCGCCCCGCCCCTGCTCCTGCCATTGGCTCCGCAGCCGCGGGCAGGGCTGCAGCGCCTCCAGCCACCCCGCGCAGGGTCCCTACTATTATCTAAGCTAGCCAGGGGAATAACGCCCGTTTCACTGACAACCTGTAAGGCTCTGCACCCGGCCTGCCTGGGGAAGTAACTGTGGGGCCCTGGTGGGGGGGGAGGAGGAGGGTGACTACAATAAGTGGGGAGTGGGGGAGAGGGAAGACAGAAGAAAGGGAGGGGGCGGAGAGAAGGGGGAGACGAGAGAGAGAGAGAGAGAGAGAGAGAGAGAGAGAGAGAGAGAGAGAGAGAGAGAGAGAGAGCGCGCATTACAGCTATCAAGCAATAAGATTTTGGCTTCAGCATTTTAACTTCCACAAAACAGAACCCATAGCAACAATTTTCTGGCCGTATTTTTTCCCAACTGGTGAATGTTCCTAAGGGCAGAGAGAAACAACGATAGGCTTTATGCCAGTGTCAGACAAGCTCTGTGTAGCAGAGCAAGGTAGGGGTTGAAGGCATATAGTGGTGTTTTCCCAGAAGCCACCCTGGAGGGCATGTGAAGGTCACTTTAGATTTGGGGGTGGGGTGCATATTATGCCCCTTCATTGGAGCTTAGCCATTGGCTAAGCTCACATTTTACCTAAGCTCCCATTTGAGAAACAAAATTTCAAATAAGCTGTACTTAAACTCAGAGAAAGTCTAGGATGTCTAATTGTTCATTGCTTTGGGAGGTCCAGAGAGACAGACATTCCAGCACCAATCATTCTGCATAGAACCTCAATTTTGCTTATTGTGATCCAGCTGTAATCGATTTCTTCGACTTACATTATCAGTTAACGCAAGGGGATAGTGAAGTAAGCCAGTTATTGCGTGTTTTTCCTTATTCAACGAGGAATTGTAAAACACAGGTTTTTAGCTCCCTCTCCTTTAAGGTGTTTTTTAACCTATGGGAATGATGTTACTTGGGGACTGAATTTTAAGAGAAACAAATAAATGATTTAAAAGATTTGTTAAACGCTTTCATAATATCAAGTTCCTTATCAGTTAGAAACTAATCTTTCATCTCTTTCTTACTGGGGTCTGCCTTGCTTCCCATAATATATGGCAAGAGCCCATAGCACATGGGCCTTTATAACTCCTCACAAAGCACCAGCACTCAATAAATGTGCTGCCTGATAAAACCCAAGTCAAAATAAAGTGTGCTCAATCTGAGCATCACAGAATCATCATTTTCCTGTGATTGCACTTCCAGTGTGGCAGGGTGAAGGGGGGCTTCCTGGGTGTCCAAGAAGATAAATCTAACACCAAGTACAGTGACTGTAGCAGCGAGCAGGTTCCCTCTAAACTCCAAGAGCTTCTGTACCCTGTAATACTCAGCCCTTCTCTTAATGCTTCGCTTCTCCCTCAAGCCTCCAATGGAAATGAGAACATAGGGTACACATTTTACTTGTGAGGCATACACCTGAACTTTAAGTGAAGGCCAAAGACATAGTACAGGGGTTTTAGGCACTTGCCTTACGTGTGGTTTGATCCCTGGCATTGCACATGGTCCTCTAAGCACTGCCAGGAGTGATCCCTGAAGCACAGTAAGAAGTGAGCCCTGAGCATAACCAGATATGTACTGATCACTTCCCACCACACACACACACATACATAGACAGACACGTATACAGACACACACACAGACACAGACACAGACACACACACACACACGAAAATTACCCTTAAATTATAAGCATAATGGTTTTCACCAAAAGGACAGTGCCATACATTAGAATCAAAACTAGGACTCGAGGTAAGGTAAAGGCCCTCCCATTGATCGTCGATTTGCTCGAGCGGGCCCAGTAACGTCTCCATTGGAGACTTTGTTGTTACTGTGTCTGGCATATCGAATGCTCTCGGTAGCTTGCCGGGCTCTCCGAGAGGGGTGGAGGAATCGAACTCGGGTCGGCCATGTTGGCCACGTGTAGCCAAAACTAGGACAAAGAACATATTTTATATTTCACTCATTTGTCTAGATACAAAAAAATGCAATGATGGAATTAAATTTAACTATTCATTTAACATGGACTCTGTCCCAGAAACCAACAAGTTCAGACATGGTATCAAACCATAAAAATCACTTTTATGATTTTAGCAATAAATCTCTTTCAACCTCTAAGCAAAAGCAGGCTTTAGTTGTGCGCCCTCACTCTATCTCTCTCTCTCCAAAAAAAAAGAAAGAAAGAAAAACTAAATTGCAAGAACAATCTTGAGCACCTATCAAAGGTTCAGTTGTCCTCAAAGAAAGGAAACAGTTCAAGTGATTCTTTAGAATGCTTTGTCTAAAGCAGCATATCCACACATGTATGCTTTGCCTTTTGAAGATCAGAGAGCTGCAATAGTTGTTTGTGTCAGTGCCTTTTAGACTGCCTGATCATAAAACATTCTCTTTGAAAGAAGGATGATCCCTTTGTGTCCCATAGATCAACTGCTTAATTCTGACTTAGAAAATGCATATTAAGTATGCAGATTCCACTGGTACTTGCATTTGTATTAAATATCAATGCCATACAATTTAAATTCATTGGGGTATGAAATGTACCGAATTCCATTTTGTGGGCAGTGCTTTGGCAAAGCAGTCCATTTTGATTTAACAGTTTCAGTGCATTAGTGGCCTGAAAAGCTTGGGAGGGAGGGAGTTCCATTTTGAGTAATTAGAGGAAGAATGTGGGTTCTTTATTAAAGCACAAATTGAATAGCATCTGCTGGAACTACCATCTTTCTTGTGGGTTACTACTTGCTGCAACAAATTACCCTGACCTATAGTAGGAGGTTGGAGAAATCCTGCGTTTACTCTTCTGTTTATATCATCTTCTCAGTTATGATTTATTTATGCCAAATTCTGTTCCTAAAAGGGAGAAGAGGAGAATAAATCTAGGCAATGCCAAGAAAAAGGAAATGTGTGAAAATGGGAGAAAAAAAAGGGTGACTTTCAACATGACATCTCTGCTAACTGAGTTGAGCCACATGTAGTACCAGTACAGTGAAAGCATGCATTAGCAAGATTTTATTAACTCACAATTAGGTAATTTTTCAAAAAACTTCTAGCACTGCTTCTCAAGTAAAAAGACTTGGAGGAATATCCTCACAGCTTTCTGTTCTAGCTGATGGGTGTTGTGAAACTTCATGTAATCTAACTCCTTCCCCTCCCACCCACCATTCCACCCCCACAAACCAAACCTTTGGAGCCAGTGACATTTCTACTAAGTACAAGAGGGGATTGTGATTGCCAGGAAGGTGTCAGTCACCATGAACCACTTTTAATGATTTCATTAATTACTAATGAGTCTTCAGAAAGTTGGTATTTAAATAGACAGAGCTCCATGAGGTTTGAAGACAGCAACAGATATTGAATTATTTTAATTATTATATATACTGTTTAATAAATGCAGATGTTTCTGTTGGCTTGAGTCAGGATTATGTATATGATTGAGCCACAGTTGCAAGTAACCTGAATGTGAGAAAGACAGAAACAGAGTTGAACAATTGTATTGCACATCTAAATTCTGTTTTGTTTCAATTAAGTTCTTCGTAAGAATCATGGAATCAACAACAATGAAATATTACTTTGCTGGCACTAGAGCAACAGTATATCCAGAAAAATTGCTCACTTTGCATGGGGCTGACCTGTGTTTGATCTCTGGCAATATATGGTCCCCTAGCCGCATCAGGAATGATAACTGAATGCATAATCAAGAGTAAGTCCTGAGCACCAATGGATATGACCCCCTGAAAAAATTATTATTTTGTCACTTTGTCATACCAATAATAGAAACAACAAAAAAGAGTCAGAAAGGATATGGAGAGAAAAGAAGCCCTTTGGACACTATTGGTTGGAATATAAATTGGTTCATCCATTATGAAAAATTATATGAGTGCTCTCAAAAAATTAAAAGTACAGGGGACTGGAGTGATATAGCACAGTGGGTAGGGAATTTGCCTTGTACGTGGCCTACCCGGGTTCGATTCTCAGCATCCCATATGGTACCCCGAGCACAGCCAGGAATGATTTCTGAGAGCAGAGCCAGAAGTGATCCCTGAACATCACCAGGTGTGACCTAAAAAAGCAAAGTAAAGTAAAGTAAAGGCCCTCCCATTGATCATCGATTTGCTCGAGCGGGCCCAGTAACATCTCCATTGGAGACTTTGTTGTTACTGTGTTTGGCATATTGAATATGTCACGGGGAGCTTGCCGCCTCTCCGAGAGGGGCGGAGGAATCAAACTCGGGTCAGCCATGTTGACTGCGTGCAAGGCAAACGCCCTACCGCTGTGCTATCGCTCCAGCCTGTAATGGAATATTAGTCAGCTAAAAGAAAACAAAAAACAAAATTGGAAACCTTCTATCCGCAACAACAACTAACAACGTGGATATGAGGCAGGCAGGAGATAGGAAAGGGGAACCTGATGATGTGGAATTCCTGAGGAGTAATAAAACTAATATCTCTAAGTTTGTCAGGACCCACCTATGGACACAAGAGCTGAGGCCTAATAAGACCTTTACCTGGAACCAGCACAGGCCAAAGATTCTTACCTAGGCTCAAAGCCCCACATGGGGCAATTTGGGAAAAACCCTATGAAAGCCAAGTTGAACAAAGGAAGCACTCCTGTACACTGCCCCAGCCCATGTGCTGCTTGTGTCCATGTGTCATGGTCAAATGCATGTTCTGCATCCCCTCTCTAGAGATGTGTACTTTCATTCTTCCATATCTAATGCTGAGAGGTGTACTAGGGATCTCTTTGCCTATGGAGAAACCCACATTCTTTCTTGAGTACTTTACTCTCTCTTCCTTTCTCTCCCAACTTCCCATTCCTCAAAAACATCCAAATAAAATCTGCTTTGCTTCACTGCTTGTCTCCTCCTAAAATTCTTTTCTGTCACAAGGCAAGGACCCAAAAGACATGTGTAAGGTCTCGGACTGACTTTCCTTTCCTGCGAAGGGAAATTCCTCATTCCAGCCTTAGTCTGCAGCTTCCCGAGAAACCAGGTAGTGAGGACTAACTCCCATGGTGTACATAACAAGTGGGCCTTGGGTGTGGCTTGATGATACCTCA